GATTTTTGCTTTTTTGTTTTTAATATTAATCAGGAAAAATCCCTAGGAGAGCACGGTATAGAATAACGGGAAGGCAAGGAAACTGGAACCAATCACCACTATTTATTGAGTGCCTAATATATTCCAGGCACTGACCTAGGAGCTGGGGCTCAAAGGGAAGCACAGGCAGGCACAGTTTTGCTCTTGTGAAGTTTACAGTGCTGGAGGAAAAGAGAAACATCAATTGGATATTCACAGGAACAAAATGAGAATACGAAGTGACAAGCAACAGGAATGTGGGGTGCAGTCACACACTACCTAGTGGGGAAGTCTGGGAAGGCTTCCAGGAGGATGTGACTGCAGATCTGTGAGCAGAAGGCTCAGGAAGGGTTAACCTGGGGAGAGGAGGAAGCATTCCAGGCCCAGGGAGCAGTCTGTGCCAAGACTGGGCAACAACAGAAACCTCTGACAAAGGACTGAAAGGCCCACATGGCTGGGGCTGCAAAAATGAGTGGAATAAGATTAGCTTGGCAAGGGGGGTAAGGCAAGGTCATTCAGATCTGGGTACTAGGTTCAGATTTGCATTTTGAAAAAACCTCTTTGCAGTATGGGGAATGGATTGGAATGTTAAAAAGTCTTGAAAGGAATTGTTCACTGCCTGGAGCACCCATAAGGAAACCCCGATTGACATACTTATTTGGAGCAGCATTTCATCTCTTGTGTAAGTATTTTAATGTAATTTTTTAACTAAATGAATGTGCACACACACACACACAGACAAATAGTTCAAAATACCTCATATGTTAGTTGCTCAGTCGTGTCCGATTCTTTGCAATCTCATGGACTGTAGCCCACCAAGCTTCTCTGTCCACGGGATTTTCCAGGCAAGAATACTGGAATGGGTAGCCACTCCCTCCTCCAGGGGATCTTGAGGACTCAGGGATTGAACCCAGGTCTCCGGCACTGCAGGCAGATTCTTTACCGTCTGAGCCACCGGGGAAGCCACTAGTGCCATTGGTTTGTATAAGACAGTCCTCGTCACTATTCCTCCCATACCCCTGGCTAAGGATCCCTTCTTCCACTCTTAACCATTCATCTGGTATTCACTATCATCCCACACCCCACCCCCTTTAAAAATGTAGTGTGGTTAATGTACTATTTATTTTTTAGTTTTTAAACACTGTTTAAAAGAATTTCTCAATCTTATCTCACATCCCACCACAGCCCCTCAAATTTTATCCTTGTCCTGCCAAAGAGTGAGCATCACCAGCATTTCCTTTTTATTTTTCCCATGGAAAAAAAAACAAAACAAAACAATACTCTGACTCATTCAGTACCTAAAAAAATCCATCAATCAGTGAGGACAGGATCAATATATTTCACCATAATATATAACTTAGTGAAGACAAAAATACCTTCACTGTACATCTATCATGAGCATATTTGAAGCAGTAAGGATTTTTACCTTTTAAGTAAGAATTGCATTTTTAAGGTGGCATAAGAATATTCAAGGAAATCACAGTTGAATTATACGTGCTAGTTGCAAGACATAACAAAATTGTTTTCACTAGCTGGCAAAAATAATCTTTATAAGACAAATGTCTGGGAAGAGAAGTGTTAGAAGGGTCATTAATTGAAGATATTCAATATCATCTATCAATGGAGCAGCACAACAGGCCTCTCTCCTGCAGCTGCACAGTGTGAGCGAGAAAACCAGTGAGAGATTCTTGACCGGAGTCCAGAAAAGTAAGTGAGATGTTCTGACCTCCAGAGAAATCAATGCTAAGGAAATACTCAGAGATACAAAGATTTATGCCTCAGAATCTTCATGACAGTGTTATTTATAACAATGCAAAACAACCTCAAATGCCTCAAAAGTATGAAAACATATATCTATGGAATGGGATAACATAAAATCATTAAATTCATGCTCTCAAAGAACAGTTAATGCTGTGGGAAAATGCTCATGTTAAATGAGAAAAACAGTCGAGGTCAACCTACACGTAAAAATATGCATGTGTATAATATACATACATCTATAAGCATGTTTAAATTACATAAAATATATTTATGTACACTTCAGTTTTTCTAAGTGCATAAATACAGTTTTTTCTCCACATGTAGTTTTTTCTCCACTCACATACTTCAGAGTCACCTAGGGGGGTTTATTAAAAATACAGATTCTTGGGTTCCACCCCAGACATACTGAATTAGTCTTTGGAATTAGAACCCAAGGACCTGTGTCTACCTATGCACACCTGTCCACCTGTGTAACACCTTGAGTTATGGTGACTCACATCTCAGTTTCAGGATCACTGGAACAAAGCAGCAGCTCTCTGGATTGGCGGAACTATAAGTGTGTGCACGCTCAGTCGCTCAGTTGTGTCTGACCCTCTGCGACCCCATGGACTGTAGCCCGCCAGGCTCTTCTGTCCATGGAATTCTCCAGGCAAGAAGACTGGAGTGTGTTGCCACTTCCTTCTCCAGGGGATCTTCCTGATCCAGGGATCGAACCTACATCTCTTGCATCTCCTGCCAACTGCACCACCTGGGAAGCCCCCAGCAGAATTATTAGTCATCTTCTTTTCTTGAATCTCTCAAAAAAAAAAAATCACTGGGCATATGCTGCTTTTATGTTTAAAAGTTTATTAAAAGTATACTAAAGAAGCATGAGTATTTGAAAACAGAGATGATTTGGGGTCTATTTGGGCAAGTCTAAATACCTTTTGAGAAACAGAAAAGTGCCTGTTTTTTATCTAAATAAGCAGGAGCATGAATTTCTAACAATTGGAAAGCTGGTTAAGACAAAAAATACTATATTTGGTGTAGACATGGAATTTACTACCTCAATAAAGTTGCAGGTAAAAAATATAAATAAAATGCTTTTCAATAGTATTCAGTTCAGTCGCTCAGTCGTGTCCGACTCTTTGCAACCCCATGGACTGCAGCACGCCAGGCTTCCCTGTCCATCACTAACTCCCAGAGCCTGCTTGAACTCATGTCCATCGAGTCGGTGATGGACATAGTTGGTGACTATTAGTACTTTCAATAGTATTGAGGAACACCATTTCTCAGTGTTATAAGATGCTCCTTGGCAAAAGAGAATTCAGTGATCAAATAAGTTTGGGGCACAACACATATTCTAATCCCCTCTAGAGTCATATAACCATGAACAAATTACAGGCTCTGAGAAGTTCAACTTAAGGTTCACTCTTGGGAACTCCCTAGCAGGCCAGTGGTTAGGACTTGGCATTTTCACTGCCACGGCTCTGGCTCAATCCCTGAGTGGGGAACTAAGATCCCTCAAGCTGCATGGCCCGGCCTAATAAGAAAAAAAAAAAAATTCATTCAATTCTAGCTCCACAAATTCTTAGAATGTGTCCTACCATTAAGAACAAATTCTAGGCCAGAAGAGAGTCCAAGAAAGAATTCTTGCCATGAACTGATACCCCACACTTAATCCAACACATCAATTTGTTCCACATTCCCATGTCTCTGAGGGCTTAGCCCACATATATGAAAAGAGCCTGATTCTAAGGGCACAGTCAAGCCATCTATCAAATAATGCTCAGGAACAGCAAAACTGAGTGATGGGCTGTAAGATCTGAAAGATCTGAAAGAACTGCACATTCACTTTGGGTTTTCCTATTAGTCTCTAGCACTGAGACAGTGAGCCTGAGATTTTGTCTTATATTCATTTACTCCCAAGACAGTAAATGGAATACTACCAATCAGGCAGTTACTTTTTTTGGACAAACCCAGCAGTAAAATGGGCTAGGCACAGGTTCTAAACTTTAGGCCTTAAATTTTGTGATCTCGTCTCATTCAATTTCATTCGATACATTTCTGAGCGCATAGCATGGGTGGGTATTTCCGAGAATGCAGAGGTGACCAAACTACAACCTTTACACACCAGAGCTCCAGGCGTTAGAGGTACTAGTGCCAGCCATTCCCTCTCGTACAGGTTTGGGCACACGTCGAGTGCACGTGTGCTAAGTCGCTCAGTCATGCCTGACTCTTTGCGGCCCTGTGGACTGTGGCCCTCCAGGCAAGAATACTGGAGTGGGTTGTCGTGCCCTCCTCCAGGGGATCTTCCCAATCCCAGGGATTGAATTCGTAGCTCCTGTGGCAGATTCTTCACTGCTGAATCACTGGGGAAGCCCATTCGGCACACAGTAGGTTAATAAATGATGGTTTGACTTGAGTTCAGAAATCAAGATATGCTTTAGTTCTGGTCCACTTTGGTACTCTGGCAGGCCAGGAGCCTACAGTAGGGCCGAATCAGCCCATTCTGGAGGCTGCTTCAGACTGACTGAGATCTTGAGTAACTAGACCATCACTACTTCAGGGATACCAGACCCCTCCAGGAGTCAATTTTTACTAGAAAAACCCCCAGGACCAGAGGAATCCAATAGTCTACTATACACCATGACAGTATTTCTGAATAAGTATACTATAAAACTCTCTAGCTTCTTCAGATGTTAACAGATAGTGTATGGTGAAATATGACTTTAGAAAGGGGTTCAGTTAACAAACCTCTGTACTTTAGGACTTCATGCCTTGAAGCAACGTGCTATGCTCCTTTTATACACTGTCTTTATTTAATCTTTACAGCACTCCTAGAGGTAGGTCTTATTATTTTTCTCATTTTTAGAGATGAGCAAGCTAAAGATCAGCAGATCTAAGGAACCTGCTTCAGAGCATATAGGGACCGTCATGAGGCACAGAATGGGACTCTGAAATCATGTCTTTTTGGCATCACAGACTAGCTGGTGATCACTGAAGCCGTGCTGTTGTTAATACATTGATGGGCATTACAGCTCTGCCAGAGGGACACACAGTATACAGGGTTTCCCAAACCAGTCTGATTAGGGAACCTTTTTGACTGAATCAGTACTTGAGACTACCTTTCCATGTATTTACTGTGGGCAAATGAGTCAGAGATACCCTGTGACAGACAGAAGGGAGGTGGAAGTCAACTCAGCAGGAAAAGCTATTCTAGAAAGAACATTTTACTAAAATGGTGCTCAAAGAATTATTTATCAGAACACGTAAATTAAACCCAAGTCGGACAGATAGTTATTTTTTAACCTCCAGATTCACAAGCTCCAGCCCACAGCTCATTTCTGACAAATAATGTTTGAGGTGACATTCCAATATATTCACTTAGCTGAATATATTGAAATATATATATATTTTTTTTAGGATCTGTTGCAGAATTTGACTTACCTCATAGTTCAACTCATTATGTTACTATTTCTTGTTTTTCTTTTTGAGCAGAGAAAGGTTTGTTGCAGGGCCATGCAAGGAGACTGGTGGTTCATGCCCCCAAAACACCCAAACTCTTATGTCACTGAATTTTTATAAAGTATGTTCACAGTAGAAGTTTTAACTTGATGTGTATTTCAACAGACCTGCAATATGCATTGTGGGATGAAATAATTCTTCATGGTTTAGGATTGACCAAAATTCTCTACGATCTAACGTCCTGGCTTGTACTGACTGACTGCTGATAGTAGCCCCTCTTAGTTTTGACAAGAAACATCCCACAACTTCAGAATTCCATCCAAGGGAGCAGTATCACCTCTGAGAACCCTGGGTTTAGAGCAAACTGGAAAAGTTTAATAAAATACTGATTGAAGGCTAAACACCTACCCTGACCCTGCATTCAGTCTTCTAGCAAAGAATTCAAGATTTAACATGCCAGCTTCAATTCTGCATATCAAATATCTCATTACTATTCTCTTTTGTTAATAACATGAACAGATTCAACACAAACTGCCAAAATACCCTTTTCAGCCAGGAGGGCCAAGTCCTGCGTACTTTGCCAACAACAGCAATAAAGCTGGATGCAAGCTAAGCCCACGGTGCACTGGCTAATCTCTGAGGCAGCAGCCTCAGAGCATGCATACCTGAAGAGCCTATCATTTTGTCAATCGTGGACTTTAAGAAGGATGCTGGCTTCATTCTTTTTAAAGTGATTTATTATCAAATAGCTTGCTCCCTCTCAGTGCTGAATTAGTTCAGCAATGCAGCTCCATCCTTTTCAGGATTATGAGAACTCAAATAATTGGAGATCAAAACAATGATGACCACCACCACCACAGCAACAAAAAGAAACCAAATGTGACTGTTGGTTCAATAACATATTTACAGACACATCAGAATGCATTCGGGAATACTGGTTTCACTTCTTGATCGGAATGCTGATCACCATGAAATCTTCTGCAAGAGTCACTTCTTGGAGGTCTAACACTGATTCAGCTTGCTTTTTAAGTTCTACAATCGCATCTGCTTCTCCTTCTCTGGCCAAGGCAGCTGGTTTGTACCTCTGACTGAAGTGAGTCAGAACCAGCCTCTTCGCCTGGCACAGCTTTGCAAATGCCGCTGCCATCTGCGGCGTGCTGTGGCCGTGCTCCTTGGCTTTGTCCATCTGGGTGTCATCCAGGGTCGCTTCGTGGACCAGCAGGTCTGCCTCGAAGCACAGCTTCACTCCTCCGTCGTCCACAACCCCAGAACAGTCACCCAAAATACAGATTTTTCTCCCAACAATAGGCTTCTTTAAGACATCTTGGGGAGAAATTGTAACTCCATTTTCCAGAACAACAGAAATTCCGTTTTTCAGCTTCCCATAGGCAGGACCTGGTGGAACACCTACAAGATGGAGGCAGATAACATCACATCATGGGAATGGAATTTATGACTTGTTAAAAAGCGTCTGTTTCAACAGCACTGCAAATAGCAAATGGAAAAGGCATCCAATTCTTTTCATAATTGTTATAAATATTTTATTACTTGTGGGAAACTGGGATATTTATACATTTTTTAAAAGTTCACTGTTGGCTATTGATATTAGCAAATGTCCAAGTACTTAAAACATTTCCAAGCACACGTTTCAGGTAAGTTTAAGCTCTTAAGTCCCCCTAAAACCTTATTATAGTCAAGGTAACAGCTGTGATCCTCTGCTGTGCATGGAAATAACAGTTTTTGAGTGCTGTTAATAAGCTCATCTTTAGGTAAAATTAAAGAGCCCATTTAAATGACAAGGTACCAACAAACTGATTAACGTAATAAAAAAATTGTTAGAGGGGGACTGTTTGGATCACAACATCAAGGAGAATTTCAGGTAGTTACACATAATCAATCTTCATTGTAAACAGAGGCAGTTCCATGCTTACCAAACTGGGCTTAAATCTCATATTAATCGAGAATAATACCTGATCGTCACTCTGGCCAATACATATAAACAGAGTATGTTCACGAATTCCAACATGGATCACATTTACAGTGTCCCAACACACTGGTATTTTCACAGGTTTGTAGATAATAAAGATATCTTTGGTCTAAGGCAGTTTTCCTCATTACTGAGTACATTGTTTTGTTGGGGAAGAAAGAAGAGATTGTGCAAATAAAGAAAAAGAAGACATGAAAAGCCACTGCCATGCTTTTCACAGGCTCTGTAGTCAGCACAGCAAGGAAGGCGGTGATGCTAGAGGGATGATGCACCTGGCACTGCTTTGGCAGAGGTGCTGCAGGACCTGAGCATGTGATGACTGAGCACGGGGAAGGTGCGAGGCCTCAGACGGGCCCCAAGCCAACCTTTGAATGCTTGCTTCCAGTGGGATGAACCTGGTATATAAAGCTGGTCGAGGGACTTCCCTGGTGGTTCAGTGGCTGAGGCTCCATGCTCCCAATGCAGGAAGCCTGCATTCGTTCCCCAGGAAACTAGACCCCATGTGCCACAGCTAAGACCCAGCACAGTCAAAAACAACAACAACAACTTGTTGAGGCAGTGTTCCAAACACCAAATTATTAATAACTTAGTCAATAAAGAAGGAACACTCAGAAAGCAGCTGGTTGCAGTGGCATGGTTAAGAACTATGGTGAAAAGTATCTGACCAAAGATGCCACTCAAACATACTTCAAAAAGATGACATGAGAAAATAAAAGCCTAGACCTGAGACAACCACCCTCATTCCACCAACGAAGATAGTAAAAGCTGAAGATAAGACAGATCAAGAATGTGCCTCTACAGAGCTGAAGAGAGACTTGAAATATATACTTCACTTTGGCTCTGAATCGCTTCTTCTAGCCCTAAAGATTTCTCTTAATAAACAAACTTCGGGAAAAGGAAGTAAGTGGAGAAAATGTAGGTCTTAGGCCTGGGAAGCAAGAAAGGAAGGTTTCTATGACACTTCTAACTGCTGCAGTTCACAACAACTCAACTGAGGAGAAAGGAAAAAACAAACACTCACTCACCCAGGTCTTTAAGTTTCTGTGCGTTGAGTTTACCTGGGCGTTTCTTCTCCAAGACTGAAAATCCAAAGGAGGGTATTCGATGAAAGAGGCGAAACGCTTTCACAACAAACTGTTCATCATCAACCAGGAGGTACGAGTTTTCTTCTGAGTCTAACAGGATAGTTCGTCCTTGTCCCTCTTTGGGAGGGCTGTCTGTTTCATTCACCTGCACAGATTCTTTTAGTTCTTCTGTAGGACACTGATCCACTGTAGGCACCAGCTCATGGACCACGTAAGGGAAGACCAACTCCGTGTGAGAGAGTTCCATGGTTCGCCAGATAAAGTCCCGAAGCCCCACAGGGCCGTAGATTTCGATGGGCTGTTTGGTGACCGTGGACCCACTCTGCAGGCTGATTGTGCAGAGGAGGCCAGGAAGGCCAAAGAAATGGTCTCCATGAAGATGTGTGATAAAGATCTTGGTAATTCTCCCTTTTGATTGAAGCAGAGAAATAAATTTGTGAATTTTCAGAAATAAAACCCATACAAAGCTACTTGAAACATGCATGTATTTTTCTACATGATTCCAGAAGCAAGAGAGACAAGTATTATTTCACTGGAAGGTTTTAATAAGATATAACTTTTTTCATAAAATATCTTCAAATTATACAGTGTTACAGTTTTAACAGTATTTTCCTATACATCCTCTTACTGGAAAAAAGAGAAAAGGAAAACGTGTACCAAAATGATTCACTTAGTAATCTCTGTAGGCACCAGCTCATGGACCACGTAAGGGAAGACCAACTCCGTGTGAGAGAGTTCCATGGTTCGCCAGATAAAGTCCCGAAGCCCCACAGGGCCGTAGATTTCGATGGGCTGTTTGGTGACCGTGGACCCACTCTGCAGGCTGATTGTGCAGAGGAGGCCAGGAAGGCCAAAGAAATGGTCTCCATGAAGATGTGTGATAAAGATCTTGGTAATTCTCCCTTTTGATTGAAGCAGAGAAATAAATTTGTGAATTTTCAGAAATAAAACCCATACAAAGCTACTTGAAACATGCATGTATTTGTCTACATGATTCCAGAAGCAAGAGAGACAAGTATTATTTCACTGGAAGGTTTTAATAAGATATAACTTTTTTCATAAAATATCTTCAAATTATACAGTGTTACAGTTTTAACAGTATTTTCCTATACATCCTCTTACTGGAAAAAAGAGAAAAGGAAAACGTGTACCAAAATGATTCACTTAGTAATCAGCTAGGCCTCAAGTGTGAAAGTGTCTGGCAGTTACACTGCCCCCTGCTGCTCCCTCTGAGAACAGCAAGTATGTACTCCCAGCATGCTAACAAACGTCCCTTTGGCTCCAAAGGACTGGACCAGTGCCTGAAACCAAAATTGCCTTTTAAGGACTCCACACTGGCCAAAGACTAACTAACCAAGCCAGAGCCTGCGTGCCTGGATGAGACGGGAGGAAAAGGAGGAAAAGGCAAGGGGGGTGAGGGAGGGGAGGACGGGGAGGAGGGAGAAGGAGGGAGGGAGAAACGAGTGAGGTGAGGACCGAGGAGGGGGAGGCAGGCAACAGATGCTGGAGTGCATATCTGAGGGTAACCCCCCAGGGTGTTATGTGAAGGCACGTGGGTCCATCCCTTCCTTTCGGTCTGAACTAATACAGCAGCTCTCCCAGTGCATATTGACTTAGGCTGTAACTTGATTTAGCCAATGGTAAACTGCATGGGTTTTCCTGGTGGCTCAGTGGTAAAAAAATCTGCCTGCCAAAATAGGAGATGCAGGTTCGATTCCTAGGTTGGGAATATCCCCTGAGGAAGGGCATGGCGACCCACTCTGGTATTCTTGCCTGGAGAATCCCGTGGACTGAAACCCAGCGGGCTGCAGTCCATGGGGTCGAAAAAAGTCAGATACACCTGAGCGACTGAACAACAAACAGAATTTACTCCTGGTACGTGGCAGGATGCCATATCAACGTTTTTCAGAGATGCACCATAAAGGCTTTTCAAAGTAACAATCACAATTAACATATTTTAAATATAACAGTTGCTTCCAGTTCGAGCTCACGGCCCACCTATTTCAAACGCTTGGTACCATAAAAGAACAGGAATAGTTTATTGTGATGGGATCTGTCCTGTGACATCCAGGTAACAGTGTGCTCCAAGCGAGTCTTCTCAGTGTTACTACATCAAGCCAGGCACTGTCCAGAGAACAGTGGACCAGGTAGAACAATGGATCATCTCAACAATGATCTTGAACCATGAGAATCCCCAGGAGGCACGCTAGAAGTCTCCCCAACATGCTCCTTTTTGTTGTCTTGGTTTAGTCTTTGTTTTTGCTGTTTTTTGACCTCTGGAACACTTTCATTTCCCCCTTTCTGCTGTCTGGGCTGCCAACAGCCCCCCACCCTCCCAAGTGGGACCTAAGAACTCAGCAGACAAGAGAACTACATCAGTTGCTGAGTCCTGGTCTCACACTGACCTCAAAACTGCCAAGTCAGACTTTCCGGGCCTCTCCCTATTTACTGCAAAGCACAGCCAAATCTGAATACCAAACAATCAGTGAACTCAAAGCAAGTGAGACACATTAGGTAAGAAAAAGTAACTTTCCACAGTTATTACAGTTTCATGGAAGACAAACATATCATTTTTTAAGAAACTTGATTTCAGCAGGAGAAGGAATGGCAACCACAATTATCAAAGGTAAGAGGAAGCTATCAAATGAAAAAAGAAAAATGCATGAGTTCCCTTTCACTTAAGAACACGAAAATTACCAGGGAAAATGTCATCCATATAGGAGTGGAAGACTGAGCATCCTCTACACCCAAAGGAATGATGCACTGATATTTACTGCCGTAGGAAAATATCTGCAATACGTTACTGATACATACTATTCAGTTGGGAAAAAAAAGTCATACCAAATATAGTTTGATTGCATTTATGCAAAATTATATACAAACACACACACAAATATACCTGTACCATTACCATAACTATATGTATAGAAAATTCACTGACCAGAGAGATTTGGGATTTTCTTATTTATATTTTTCTGCTTTGTTTAAACTTTTACAATGAGCATGTATACTTATTATAATCTTTTTAAAATTATACTTTTATAATACTTTTTTGTAATTATTTTTGAGGGGGGGAAAAAAGCTTAAGCTCACTCTTTAAAATTATGAAAAAAAATAGATATGACAAACCCACACTTTTTAATCAGATGCCTGGATATCAGGACCATGGAAAGTTGAAAGAAGTATATTTAGACAGACAGAAAGTACTTCCTTATGAAACCCATAAAATATTATTACCCCAGGAGGTAGTATAAGCTAAAAGGGTTTCAAAGACTCCAACAGTGATGGGTCCACATTTGGTTACTCAGAGAAACCAAGATGTATTGAGGATTCCAGGTTGAGATTGGGGCTTTAGAAGTGTCAGAGTGTCTTAGCTGATGTTCAGGGATTACCATATCGCCCTCCTCTCTGAGGCCAGGAATTCTTTTTTTTTTTCTTCATTTATTTTTATTAGTTGGAGGCTAATTACTTTACAATATTGTAGTGGTTTTTGTCATACATTGACATGAATTATCCATGGATTTACATGTATTCCGAATTCTTTTTTTAAATCAATAAAAATTTAGTAAGCTAAAGGTTCCCTTTAGATTTTATTTTAGTATTATTATTTTTTGGCCAAACTTTTATTTTAAAAAGCTTGAGCTTTGTGATCTGTTGAAAAATAACTGTAAAATATAAAACATGAGAGAAAGGTATTATGGCAAATAGAGTTAAGGTGGTACCCATGGTCCCTGCCTCCAGCTGTCCACATCCCTCTATAATTCCTTCCCCTTGAGTGTGGGTGGGACTGGGCACTTGGCTTCTAACCAGTGAAACATGGCACAAGGATGCAATGTGATTATGTTCTCAGAGTCCATCTTGCTGGCAGACTTGCTCTTAAGTCTCTTTCTCCCTTCCTGGCAGTAAAAGGAAGCAAGCTACCCTGCAGCAGAAAGCCCCACGAGCAGGACCTACAGCAGGCCTCAAGTTGCTGCAGGCAGCCTTCGTTCAACAACCAGAAGGATTCTGCCAACAACCTGAGTGAGCTCTGAAATAGATTCTTCCTCTAGTGGGGTCTCTGATGAGACCTCAGCACTGGCCAAGACCTGGGCTGCAGCCTACTGAGACCCTGAAATAGAGAATCCAGCTAAGCCTGGCCTGAAGTCCCTAACCCACAGAAACTATGAGATAATAAATGCAAGTACCCCACTAAATTTTTAATCTGTTAAGCAGCATTAGATAACTGACACAGGTACTAAGTAAAAACTGGAGACATCCCTACATCCAAACTTCTTAATACAAGAGTCACTTGTTTCTATTTTAATCACCCTGCCACCTCAACCCCTACTCTCTAAATATTATAGCCACCACTCTGGCATGTGCCTACCCTGCCAGGTCTTGTGAAAGGAACCCTTGTGTGATCCCAGGGAAGTAAAGCATAGCACTGCTGTGACCACAGGGTTTCAACGTAAGACAGTATAAATTAGGGCTGAACTGTGTACACCTGTCCCAAGTGATATGCCTGGTTCCTTCCTCCAACAGTTCTCTTTCTAACTCTCCATTTAGGTCTGGGACATCACCACCTATAACTTGGAGTAATTCTGCACTTCTGCATATCCTAGGCATTCACTCAGTCCCGTCTCCTGGCTCTACAGATCTCTCTGAGTCTCTCGTCTTCATCCTCATTCCTGCTTCCTGCTCCAGAATCTTCTTCTTCTCTCTCTCACCAGGTGAATGCAACTGCCTTGGGCCAGGCCTCCTGATGCCACTCTCTCTCCCAGTACATTTGCTATTGGAAAACCATCCTAAAACACAAATCAGACCATGTCATTTCTTGGTTTAAGATGTATTCAATGATTCCTTGCTGACAATAGGATAAATAATAAGGCCCAGATGCCTTAGAATACCACAGAAGTCTTCACAGTCGGCCCTCGCTTTCAGCATTCCTGTCTCTCATCTCTACAGTCAAGTACTCAGAGTGCTGGACGGCTTAGGATTCCCCAAACACGTCATGTGTCTCCTGGAAACTCCCTTACTTCCTGCTCACTCTATCATCTATATCATCATATATATAGATGATATATCATCATCTATATTCCCTGAATATCCATCCCTGCTTCTCCTCCCAGAGAAACTTCTATTCATCTCTTATATCCTTGCTCGACCATTACTATCTCTGAGTTGCTTTCTCTGAACACACAGATACAGTTAGTGTCCTCCTCCTTTGTGCTTCAAAAGTAGCTAGAAAACACCTCTTTATTCTTACTTATCACATTACACCATGACTGCACGTCAGTTTCCACGACTAGACCAAGGGATGCTTGGATGCTAGAGCTATCTTTCTTTTAGTCATTAAATGCCAAGTACTGTGAGGAGTTGTAGGAATAATTTCAATAAGTGCCATTTATCAAGATCTAACAAGTGAGAGGCCCTGTACTAAGTGCTGAACATCTGACTCAAGCATCAACAGATATTACTAGGCATCTACTAGGTGTGCATATGCTCAGAGTCTAGTCATCCAGGAACTACACAGTGAACACAGAAACGACAACCTAAATAACATAATTTTAGATACTGATGACGCTAAAAAGTCAATAAAACCAGCATAAATCAGTAGGATGCCTGGCGTAAGGGAGAAATTACTTAACACAAGAGGTTTGGGGAAAGCCTTTGAGGAGACAACATGTGAGTTGAGATTTAACTGATGAGAAGGAGACAACCACACAGAGAAGGGATTATTATATACAATTCTCACATCACCCCTTTCAAGTGCAGGTTTTAAGTGAAGTGAGTCACTCAGTCATGCCGACTCTTTGCGACCCCACGGACTATATGGTCTATGGAATTCTCTAAGCCAGAATACTGGAGTGGGCAGCCTTTCCCTTCTCCAGGGGATCTTCCCAACCCAGGGATTGAACTCAGGTCTCCTGCATTGCAGGCGGATTCTTTACCAGCTGAGCCACCAGGGAAGCCCTGATATGGAGGTTTTAACCCCATTTTAAAGATGAGAAAAGAAAGGCTTAAGCTTGCTGATCTGCTAAGGTGCTAAGCAGAGACACAGCTGGGACTGGAATCCTGGTCTAGCCCACTCTGGGTCAAGGCTCTGTGAACACTGGACTCCTCAGTGGGCCTGGGGCGAGGCTCTCTCTGTTCCCTCTGGCCAGAATGCCCTTCTTCTCCCCAGCCCAGGGAGCCCTTCCTCCGCCCTCAACAGCTCACATATCACCCCCTCTCAGCTGTCTTTGCTGATGACCCCAACAGAAAAGAACTCACTCCCCAGAACACCTACTGTCCTCTCATGAAACTTAGACCCATCTCCTGGGGGAAGTAAGTATGTTCCCGTGGTTCAGCAGTGTCTTTTTAATGTGTCTGATGTATCTCACTCCATCCTCCATGCCCTAAGCCTATGTACATCCTTGCTCTTCAATTTACAGGAAGAATGAAAAGTGAAGGACTGAAGGGAGGGAAGGAGAAGGAGGAAGTAAGTTGGGCAGTCAGTCAGCTAGTTCATCTAGGCATCTTGGTGTGGCCAGATGCCTGAGTGCCTTCCAAGTCTTGCCAGGGCTCCAGCACTGAAATGGGGTACAACTGCCAGGGTTGCTTCTGAGCAGAAGGCCCAAGGAGAGCCAGGAAAATGAAGATGAGCAAGAGACAGCCCTAATGAGAAAGCAGAACACACACTCACCCGCTTTAAGTTGGCTCTTCATAAGCTGTGTCTGGGTTCCCTCCCCACAGTCAAAGAGCCAGCACTCGCCTTCACACCGAAGAACCAGCGCAGAGGCACCCCGGGTTGGGGACGGGTATGCTGCACCTGTCCCCAGAAATGTCACGTCCATAGACATCTTCCACCCTGCAACGAGAAGATCACTTAGGGCTTATCACACATCACTGCTTAAAATCACCAAAAACAGGTTCTTGGGAGTTTCACTGTTATCTAATTTTATGTATTTAGAACAGTGTGGATTCCTGTTCTCTAATAGTTTTCCACAGAAATCTAAAGGAAGATTCTAGTAACTCTTAATCAGTTAAAACTACAAATTACCAAACCTTGTACGACTGCTCACACAAACAAAAATAAATTAAAAAAAAGCCAAACTCAGTTAATTAAAAACTAGAGTTGAGGACTTCCCTGGTGAAACTGAAAGTGTTAGGTCCAACTCCTTGTGACCTCATGGACTGTAGCCCTCCAGACTCCTCTGTCCACGGGGCTCTCCAGGCAAGAACACTGGAGTGGGTTGCCACTTCCTCCTCCAGGGGGTCTTCCCGACCCAGGGATGGAACCCGGGTCCCCTGCATCGAGGCGGACCCTTTACGTCCGAGCCACTGGGAAGCCCTCCCTGGCGGCTCAGGAGTAAAGAACCCGCTTGCCAATGCAGGAGACGCAGGTTCAGTCCCCGGTCTGGGGAGATCCCACGTGCTGTGGAGCAACTAAGCTTGTGTGCCACAACTACTGAGGCTGCGTTCCAGGGCCCGGGAACGGAAAAAAGAGAAGACATCGCAACGAGAAGCTTGCGCACAGCAACAACCCGCTCGCCTCAACTAGAGAAAAGCCTGCGCAGCAAAGGAGACCCAGTGCAACCAAAAATAAAATTAATAAAAAAAATTATATATATATATATATACACCAAACTGTACTTGAATTCCAACCACATGACATTCTGGAAAAGGCAAAACTATGGGGATAGTAAAAAGACAGTGCTTTGCGGGGGAAAGGAGTGAGGGATTTCAGGGCAGTAAAACTATGCTGTATGATACAATAAAGACAGACACATATCACCACACGTTGGTCAAAACCCATAGTAAATACAAAACAGTGAAGGAGCCCTAATGTAAACTGTGTATCAATACTGGCCCATCACCGTTGTACCACACTAACGTAAGATGTCAACATTAGGGGAAACTGATGGGGGTGGGGTGGGGTGGGGAGTGGGTATATAAGGACTCTGTACTATCTGCTGATTAATTTTTTAAAAAGTCCTTCTGATAAACAGTAAACAACTCTAGTGAGGTTCTGGGCAAGCAAGGGAACTTAATTATGCTCACCAAGTGATCTCTCTATGCTGAGCAGCTCATGGTGAGCAGCCCTTTCTCTGAACCATTGGGAAACCACAATGAAGCACTACAACACTCAGTAATGCGAATAATACACAGTAATGCTGAGGGAATGTCTCACTCCCCTGATTAGAGGGTCCATGAGGGGTTAGCGCTTGGGCCTCTGCTCTTACAAGTGATCAGCAACAACCTGTTGAGTGTGTAGATTTCTGCCAACTCCTGATATCGCTTTTTCCTTTCACTATTTTTGGGCATATCTGTCTCTGATACAGTTCCTTTTTTAAAGATTTATTTATTGATCTACTGCTTGGCTGCAGCAGGTCTTCACTGCTGCACTCAGGCTTTCTCTAGTTGCAAGAGGGGGCCACTCTTGCTTAGTGTGCTGGCTTCTCACTGTGGTGCCGCCTGCACTGCAACACAGACTCCTAACTACTGGACCACCAGGGAGACCCCTCTGATACAGTTCTGTGACGGGAGATATGCATCAAATAAAATAGACTCAAACTTCAGTTCAATCGCTCAGTCATGTCCAACTGTTCACAACCCCATGGACCACAGCACGCCAGGCCTCTCTGTAAATCACCAACTCCCGCAGTTTACTCAAATTCATGTCCATCGAGTTGGTGATGCCATCCAACCATCTCATCCTCTGTCATCCCCTTCTCCCGCCTTCAATCTTTCCCAGCATCAGGGTCTTTCCCAACGAGTCGGTTCTTCACATCAGGTGGACAAAGTATTGCAGTTTCAGCTTCAACATAAGTCCTTCCAATGAACACTCAGGACTGATCTCCTTTAGGATTGACTGGTTGGATCTCCTTGCAGTCCAAGGGACTCTCAAGAGTGTTCTCCAACACCACAGTTCAAAAACATCAATTCTTCAGCGCTCAGCTTTTTTTGTAGTCAAACTCTCACATCCATACATGACTACTGAAAAAAACATTGCCTTGACTAGACAGACCTTTGTTGGCAAAGTAATGTCTTTGCTTTTTAATATGCTGTCTAGGTTGGTCATAACTTTTCTTCCAAGGAGTAAGCATATTTTAATTTCATGGCTGCAGTCACCATCTGTAGTGATTTGGAGCCCAAAATCCACTGTTTCCTCATCTTTTTGCCAAAGTTATATATAACCAACTACAGATTATCCACGTTGATGGCAAGGAAGGAAACAAACACGTAAGTTTAAGAAAAACTACTAAAACAGGAAAACTTGACAGAGAGCTGGATAAATGTACTATCTACAAGGGGGGAAAACCTATCAAAAACTTTTCTCGGTCCTTGCAAAAATGAAAAAAACCCTCAGTCACAAGAGAAAAAAGAAGTCTTGTAAAATAGCTAGAAATAAAGTTAACAAGAAAGGAACAGGTCCTAAAAGACTCAAAGAGAGAAACACATTAGCTTCTTTGATAGGAGATTTACTATCACAGAAATGCGTATCTTTTCATAATTAATGCATGTATATTTAACGCAAATTCTATCAGATTTCCAGTGCGATTCATCTTCGAACAAACATAACCCAAAAATCACATTAAAAAAAAAAAAGCACGTGTCTGAGAATGGGCAAGAAAAGCCTACAAAGTAGTGAGTAGTGATTTACTTTTCTAGGTAGTACCATGACACTAATCAGGCACAAAAGAAAGATATATTATTGGTACAAACATAAAGCTGTAAGTAAGAGAAGGGATAGTCCAGAAATAAACTCAGGTACACACAGAAATCAATATATAACAGAAATGTAAAAAAGGGTGGCTTTTTAAAATGAATAACACTGACATAATTGGTTATTTTCGCAGAAAAAGTGAAGCAAGATTCTTATCTTGCATCATATATAAAAATACATTCCACATGATTTAAATGTGAAACATTTAAATTTGGACCTTTCAGGTCCAAAAAAAAGTGTTCAAAAAAATTAGAATATGTATACAAATTTGGGGATGAAAATCCCTTACTGGCAAGACATGAAATACAAAGCTTTTAAAAAGACATTTTTACTACATAAAAATTTTCATATATCAAAAGACTCTCAATGTCAAAGGACCTCCCCCCGCCAAAAAGAAAAAAACCATTTGGAAAAAACTGTACTGTTTGATAACAGGTTAATGCCCCTAAGAAATGGTTCAAGCAAACGCATTAAAACAGAAAAGTACAGAATAGAAAACTAAACAATGAATATACACAGGAAATTCACAAAAGAAATCCAAAGGGCCAATAAGCATGAAAACCCTTAGTCCTCCAGTAGAGAGGAAATGCAAATTAAAGAAAAAAGAGCCATCATTTTCCACACATCGGCTGGCAAATATTAATGCTATCCAGTGGTAACCCAGACAAGGAAAAATGAGTACCTACATTTTACCAGTGGTGGAAGCATGAACTGCTATTATGTTTTGGGACAGTAATCTGGCAATACATATTACCAATAATAATGAGGCTACTAATGCAACGTACTGTAATCCAGCAATCCCATTTTTGGGAATCTGCCTTACAGAAATAAAGGATCTATGTACAATGATATTTACTGTGAAACTTTAAAGGTGGCTAAAATTTGGAAACTATCTGAATATACAGATAGACAGATAAATATCAATTTGGAAACAACTGTTTTATTGTACATTCATATCATGAACTATCTGTTCTACAGTTCAGCCAGGTCTGTGACTCCTGTACTGAAGGGATGACAATGAGAAAAGTTACAGATGGCTATGGCATAATCTCATTTTTATAACAATGCCCAAACATCTATGTTATGCAAGACAGAGATAGTCTGGTGAGGAACAATATACATTGTACTGCTACACTGGTTATTTCGGTGATGATTAAAATAATGGTGGTGGAGATTAACTTTTTAAAAAAATCTTTGAATTGTTTTTTGCTGCAATAAGCAGCATTTTATTTACCTATTTGGCTTAATTTTGCATTTAATTTACTTCATGACTTCCAGTGGTATAGAATCCTGGAGTACTAATCACCTGGAGATCTTTTAAAACATATCAACCATTTTTGGGCTCCATCCCATAACTATCAACAGGAAATTCCGCAAGAGACATGTGTTTTAGAATTGAAAAAGAAAAATTCTCCCCCTGTGATCCTAACATGCAGTCAGTTTTGAGAACCAGTTAGTGAAAGGCTAGTGGAGAACTATAATGGATGGATCAGGCTGACCTGAACTCACTAGTCAACAAGTCAATTAAAAAAAAAAAAAACACCAAAATTTTTGTTATGAAAAATTTCAAACACACACAAAAGGAGAGAGATTAGCATAATGTACTGTCACATACCCATCACTGAGCTTCAACAATTATCAACTCAAGGTCAATCCTGTTTCCTCTTTATACCCCATCCATCATCTAAGAATATGTAACAGGTGGTATTGGGAAGTTCCACCAGGGAGCACACGCTGTCTGGCTGTCTCTTTTTCTGATGTTAGCAACCATTAATGATCTTTCCAGGAACCATTATTTCATTAGGGGTTGCCATAAGGTGATATTCTCTCATTCCTTCTGCAGTTATTAGTATCCTTCTGTAATTCCCTGATCAATCAGTCACCCTGCAATACAATTTGTATGGAAAAGAGCCAGTGATCAATGTTACCACCACAGAGATGAGACCTAATCCAACTCCTGATGTGATGCAATATGAAGCACATAGTATCCAAGGAGGTTTTCTTGCCAAATAATATAACCTGTATCTGGAAAAGGCTGTCTTCTAGACACCAGTTTATTAGAGCACACCACAGGGAAGGAAAAAGCAAAATTCAGTATGTAAGAAACATTACATGACAAATGACTTGACTTCTTCAACAACCTAAATACCAGGAAAAATAATAATGAAGAGAGAGGAGACAGAGATAAGAGCCATCAACCAAATGTAACCTGTGTAGCTTGTCTGAATCCTGTTTTGGACAACCAGATGATGGCGGGGGGTGGGGGGAGAGAGAATAGGGGAAATGCAAACTTCACTGGAGAGATAGTAATGTGAGGTTCTTATGAGACTGATAATGGTGTTATGTTCAAGTAGTTACTAAGTTCTATAAACATAAGCCAGTATTAAATGGATGAAATGGTACGTTTTGATTTGCTTTACGATAATCCAGTGGGGGTGAGGGTGCCAGATGAAACTAGATCCATTAGCAATTAGTACATGAGTTGGTACATTCTGTACACGATTCTGTTTTTGTATATATTTAAAAGTTTCCATATAAAAAGTTTAAAAGCAAGCCAAATAACCAAAACTCTTCCACTAGGTCAGGAAGTAACCAGAAATTTAATCATTGGTGCGCATTATGCACCACTAGGAAATGTGAGCAAACCAGATTTTAGCTCTTGTCTTCTTGGACCAAAAAAAAAAAAAAAAACCCAAACTCAGAAAACAAAAACCCAGCCGCTTGCTTTCTCACAATACACATTTCTAGCAAGAACACAACACACGATCGATCTCAGTAGGGTCACTTGACACTCTGGGCCAGTGGTTCTCAGTCCTGGCTGCAGACTACAATCGCCCGGTGGTTCTGGGGTTCTCAGTACTGGGGAAGCTCCCCGGAAGATTCTAAAGGCGGTCGGGCTCGGAAGGAGTTTTCAGGCAGAGGCGGTGCCAAGCCTGGAATCCACCCAAGCGGTGCAGGCAGGGCAGGTCCTGCCATCCTCCATTTCAGAGATGAAAGGGCCGAGGCCCGCTGCACAGACAGTGGTCTTTGCGAGGCCAAGGCCTAGCCCACCGTGGCCAGAGGCCGGGTCTCCGACCGCCAGCCGGCCCAGCCGCTCCTTCACGCCTGTCGAGCAAAAGGAGGGTGGGAGGCGGCAGAAGCGCGGTGCAGGAGGTCCTCGGCCCGTAGGGTAGGGGTAAGCAGGCGCGATGAGGGGCGGTGGGTGGACAAGGCGCGTCCTAGATCCCCGGCTCGGGTCCTCGGCTCCCGGCACAGCCCGCGACTCCGCGGGACGCCCGAGCGCTAGACCGGTTTGGCGGGCGCGGGGGAGGCCTCGGCGGCGCAGACCCCGGCCCGCCCCCCACCTCGGGCGCGCCCTGCCCCACTCACCCACTCCCCGACGCCCGCGGCGAGGCCCGGCCGTCCGCGGGGCGGCGACGCGCGGGGGCGGAAGTGCGCCGCCGGCCGAGCCCGCGCCCCGCCGCTCTAGGAAGCGCCGGAGGTCCGCGCTCGGTGGTTCTCCGCGGAGCGCGACCCCGGCATGAGCCTGGGCGGCCGGTCCAGCGGTCCGCTCTGTCCCGCGGCGAGTGGGAGGCCCCTGTGAGGGCTGCGGTATCCCGTGAGGACCAGAGCGCCCAAGTGAAAAATGTCCACTGTGTGGGTTGCTTTTTTTTTTTTTGCCACTGCTTGAGGCATGTGGTATCTTAGTTCTGCAACCAGCGATCAGACCCTCACCCCTTGCTCTTGAAGCCCAATGTCTTAACCACTTGGACCGCCAGAGAAGTCCCTACTCGATGACTTTTTTTTTCTTTCTTTTTTTCTTTTTCTTTCTTTCTTTCTTTTTTTTTTTTTAGCCGTGTAACGTTGATGCTTTTGAACTGTGGTGTTGGAGAAGACTTTTGAAAGTCCCTTGGACAGCAAGGAGATCCAACCAGTCCCTCCTAAAGATCAGTCCTGAGTGTTCATTGGAAGGACTGATGTTGAAGCTGAAACTCCCAACACTTTCGCCGTCTGATGTGAAGAACTGACTCATTTGAAAAGACCCTGATACTGGGAAAGATTGAGGGCGGGAGGAGAAGGGGACGACAGAGGATGAGATGGTTGGATGGCATCACTGACTCAATGGATATGAGTTTGAGTAAACTCTGGGAGTTGGTGATGGACAAGGAGGCCTGGTGTGCTGCAGTCTGTGGGGTCGCAGAGTCGGATACGACTGAGCGACTGAACTGAACTGAACTGAACGTTTTCAAACAAGAGTGTTCTCCGAGATGCTTTGCTCCGGCATATCTGCGTAAAGCCTGTGATCTCACGGGGATGAATCTGTCTTAAGCACTGAAAACTGAAGCGTGCCAGTGCCTTGGAATCAGAGTTCATAGCAGCCATACTCTAGATCCCAAGTCTTCTTTCGATTGCACTTTGCTCTTCCAGGGATACAGCGGAATGTCTGCTGAAAAATCCGCAGCTGCGGGTGCTGTGCCTGCAGGAGCGTCGCTGATGTGTCCACTTGCTGAGCGGAGCGCACAGCATCGCCTCAGGGACGCGCTGGGTGAGGCGCCCCGGAGGAAACTGCACGTGGCCCAAGTGGAAAAACTCATCCCGGTCAAACTCCAGCTTTCAAAACTTCACGCTCTTGTGTAGTGTCAGATGCACTGATTTTTGCTCACATGCTCGAGGTGGTCAAAGTATCCAGCATATTCCTAACAGGGTTAGAAGTGCTGTGGATGGAGGGTTTTTAACACTACCTGGAGAGAGGGATCATTTACTTTTGGGCCTCTTCAAAGCTTTTATTTATGCAAGTGTTAATTAAGATCCGCCTTAGTGGAGAGACAATCCGACTTTGATAATGAATTTTTAATATATGTCATGGTTCCTGATTTTAGGAGCATAAACCAAGGTTGGAAAAAGAACTAGCAGAAAGTCACTAACAAAATGAGGGAGCAGAGGAGAAACCAAAGGGAGTGACAAAAATAGGGAGATCATTAAGTTAAGGAAGGGTTAGGGAATTCTCTGGAGTCCAGTGATTAAAACCCTGCACTTTCACTGCCAGGGGTGGGTTCAGTCCCTGGTCAGGGAACTAAGATCCCACTGCCTTGCAAAAAAAAGGGGGGGCGGGGGACAAGTTGTGGGCGTGGTTAAACTTGAGCTGGGTCTTGTGGAGAGGTTGAGACTTAGATTAATCTCCTGGAAATGGAAAAACAAGGAAATAAGATGCATTTGTTTGTACAGGGACTGGTTTAACAAAATTTTTAAAACCAGACCTTGAATGTTATTTATTCTGACACTTTCCTAGCAGAGAAGTGCTCAGGAAGACACATCCTACAGCTAGGCCTTGACCACAACTCGACTAGGGGTTCCCTCCTGAGGTACCCCCAATAGATCTGCCCATTCCAGAGGTTCCTGGCTTAAACCTACCATCCCCTATGCCCACCCCAATCGAGATTTCTTACAACCCCTTTTCTCAGAGGTTATTATAGCTTTAGAGAATTCTGGATAGTGCTTTATGTTCATTTTAAAAACTTTATGGGAAATTTTTTACATACACAAAAATTGAGAAAATGTTTAATGAACGTCTATATAGAATCATCATTCATCTTCAATAGTTATTATGTTCAGTTTTTTTCACCTAGAACCCTGTCCCTCCAAATGTAACCTAGCCCTTAATTAACCATTTACAGTTATTATAAAATACTGGCTTTGCTCCCTGTGTTATACAATATATCCTTGTAACTTATTTTATACATAGTTATCTTAATCTGTTAACCCTGTCTTGCTCCTTCCCCATCCCCTCTCTCTGATGGTAACTAATAGTTTTCTATATATGTGAGTTCTGTTTCTTCTTTGTCATATTCACTATTTTATTTTTTACATTCAACATGTGATATCATACATTGTGTCTTTTCTGATATTTTCACTTAGCATGATGCCCTCCAAGTCCATCCATGTTGCAAACACAAAATTTCATCTCTTTTTATGGTCGAGTGGGACTTCCCTAGTAGCTTAGTGGTAAAGAATCCGCTCGCCAATACAGGAGATGCAGGTTTGACCCCGGCATCAGGAAGATCTCTTGGAGAAGGAAATCACAACCCATTCCAGTATACTTACCTGGGAAGTCCTATGGACATGAGAGCCTGGCAGGCTGCAGTCCATGGGATCGATTACAAGAGTCAGACACTAAACAACAAATATTCCATCATATATATACTGCATCTTCTCTGTATGTTCATCTGTTGATGGACATGTAGGTTGCTTACATATCTTGGCAATTGTAAACTGATGCAGCCACTGTGGAAAGCAATATGGAGATTTCTCAATACTACTGTGAACACAAGTACATGTGTCTTTTTTAAAATTTATTTTTTAATTGAAGGAATACATGTATCTTTTGAATTAATATTTTACTTTTCTGTGGATAAATACCAGGAGTGGAATTTCTGCATCATATGGTAGTTCTTTCTTTGTTTTTTGAGAAAACTGTTTTCTCACCACATTTCTCAGTGTTTTCCACAGTGGCTGCACTAATTTACATTCCCACCAACAGTGTAGAAGGGTTCCTTTTTCTCTACACTGTTGCTAACATTTGTTGTTTGAGACTTTTTTGATAACTGTTCTGAAAGGTGAAAAATGGCCGTTGAAAAAGTGTTGGACCATAAAGAAGGCTGAGCGCTGAAGAACTGATGTTTTTGAATTGTGGTGCTGGAGAAGACTCTTAAGAGTTCCTTGGACTGCAAGGACATCAAACCAGTCCATCCTAAAGGAAATCAACCCTGAATATTCATACTGAAGCTGAAGCTCCAATACTTCGGCCACCTGATGCAAAGAGCTGACTCATTGGAAAAGGCCCTGATGCTGGGAATGATTGAAGACAAAAGGGGAAGAGGGCAGCAGAGGATGAGATGGTTAGATAGCATCACCAGCTCAGTGGACTGGAATCTGAGCAAACTCTGGGAGACAGAGGACAGAAGAGCCTGGCATGCTGCAGTCCGTGGGGTTACAAAGAGTTGGATATGACTTAGTGACTGAACAACAAATTCTAAAAGGTGTTAAGTGATACCTCAATGTGTTTTTTTTTTAATATGTATTTATTCTTACTTATTTATTTGGCTGTGCCAGGTCTTAGTTGTGGCATGCTAGTTCCCAGACCAGGGCTCAGACCCGGGCCTCCTGAATTGGCAGCTTGAAGTCTTAACCACTGGACCACCAGAGAAGCCCCTGTTTATTAGTTTTTAACAAAAGGATCACTCTGGGTGCAGAGGGAGGTCATTTCTGTGGTTTGGATGATACTCAGGTTTTGCCCATGTATAGACATGATGGTCTACACGGTGTCAGATTTCATTTTCTTGGGCTCCAAAATCAACGTGGATGGTGACTGCAGCCACAAAGTTAAAAGATGCTTGCTCCTTGGAAAACAAGCTATGACAAACCTAGACAGTGTATTAAAAAGCAGAGACATCATTTTACCAACAAAGGTCTGTTTTGTCAATGCTATGATTGTCCCAATAGTCATGTGTGGTTGTGAGAGTTGGACCATAAAGAAGGCTGAGTGCTGAAGAATTGATGCTTTTGAACTGTGGAGTTGGAGAAGACTCTGGAGAGTCCCTTGGACTGCAAGGAGATCCAGCCAGTAAATCCTAAAGGAGATCAGTCCTGAATATTCATTGGAAGGACTGGTGCTGAAGCTGGACCTCCAATACTTTGGCCACCTGATGCGAAGAACTGACTCATGGGAAAAGACCCTGATGCTGGGAGAGACTGAAGGCAGGAGGAGAAGGGCAAGAGGAGGGCAAGAGGAGAGGATGAGATGGTTGGATGGCATCACTGACTCAATGGACATGAGTCTGGGTAACTCCTGGAGTTAGTGATGGACAGGGAGGCCTGTCGTGCTGCAGTTCATGAGGCCGCAGAGTTGTACACAACTGAGTGACTGAACAAGACGTGATGTTGGAGTGACCTTGTTTTTGTCTTAATCCATTGTGGTCAGTCGCCTTGTCAATGTCCTGTGAGATAACCATCACTCACTGCCGTGGGGAGAGCTCACAGGGGGAGCTCTGGGTGTCAGTGTGAGTGTATCCCATTCAACAGGAGAGCTCAGCTGTGGCCTAGCGGTGAGTTTCCAGTATCAGGTCAGCTCCTGGAAGTCGGGAGCTGCTGATTTTCACTTTCTCAAGGTTCCTGGAGAGATGAGGGGAAGGGAAACTTGAGGACACCTTCTTCTGATCATCCCGTTTCTCTGTGAGATTGAAGCAATGCTGTCTTGAGAGCTAGGATGCAGGAGAACATCAGGGATCTGACAGCAGGGAAGGTCCCAGAGTTACCGGACCAGGATATGCCAGGAGCATTGAGGGTGTCTTGACGATAGTGACTCTGACTCAGTGAGACAGCACGACCGTGATGTTCTGCCACCCTGTTGTGCTGGGCGGGCTGTGCTTAGAGGAAGAGAGTCT